GGACGGGCCCAGAACGGGAGACGTGGCTGCGACGGCCCCAGACGCAGACGGCCTGACCCAGACGGGGAGACGCAGACGGTGAAGCAGACCTAGACCCACCAACCCGCTTGGCCACAGGCCCATCGCTGTCATGAGCCTGGCTAGGAGGGGCCTTTCCCCCCCCATAGCATCCTGCCTTCAACCATAGGGCACAGCCTCTGCCCCCCACATCCCTGGGGCCCAATGGGAAGAAGAATGGGGACTAGTTTCGGAGGTCACAGCCCAGGACAGGCGGGGGCGTGGGGGGGGGAGGAGGGGGGGGAGTTTGGGTGGGGGAAAGGGGTTGGAGTGTATGGGGGAGGGGTTCCAGAGCTCTGAGTATCGGAGCGGGGCTGGGATTTCTCCATCTCCCCCGAGTCTGTCTCTGTGGGTGCATATGTCTGTCCCTCTGTCCGTCCATCAGCCTCCGTGCCACCGTTCTCCATGCCTTCGCGGCGCTTTGTGTCCCTGGTGCCGTCGAACGACATCTGTGTGGTCGACTGGTCTCCCATCCTGAAAAGAGATAACGTGCTGGAGAGACTGGAGATCACGGATAGTTACGATAACTTGATTGAGGAGCACAGCTGCCATGCCAGTGCGTTTCAACCGCACACCAAATCCAGCCTGGGCCTTCAGCTCCCTCAGAAGTGTCTGTCCTGGCTCCGCAGCATCCCACAGCGCCTCTGGGGACGGCCGCAACACAATGGCAGCAAGAGCTCCGACCCGGGGGCCCTGCCAGAGCCTGCACCCCAGAAAGGTGGGGGGGGGACACCGGGCGTCAGAACTGGGGGGCAAACGTCAGGATCGGGGGCGGATGGAAATTCTTTGAAGAACAGCCTTGACAACAAGGAGATAGGGGCGTCCTTAACGGGTTGGGTTTGACGTGAGGTGACACAAGTCCTCTTGCCACGAAATGAATAAAAAAATAAGACGGAAGCTTCCAGGCGAGAAGCTGGGATGCAGGATGTGAGTTTGTGCCGGTTCGGGAGGGACTCCCCTGCTGTTTTCTCTCAGACACACAGGTGGAAATTCCTGGCAAAGAACTTGGCTGAAACTGGGCTTAGGGTAGGACATGGGTACACCTGAGTTATGGGGCACAGATCGTTGTGGGCACCGTCCGGTTCATAACCAAAGAAGGCCAGGAAAGGCAGAAATTTGGAAGTTTAGACTCCCCTTAAAATCTGAATTGGAGAGTCTGGTTACTGCAGCCCAGGTAACCTTAACTCTGCCCCATAATCCTGGCCCATCTATGGCTATATCCTATACACACTGTTACATCCCATCTCCCCTACTTCCTTACAGGCTCATGTCTTTCCCTGGAAGGAAGTGTCCTTTGCAGGTTGTAGTGGAGATTGTCAGATTGTGTGTGAGACTTGGGCTTAATGGCTGAGGCTAGGACATTCACAGGGACCCAAGGGAGTTGGGGGTCTAATTCTGAATATTGTCATCCCATGAGTGCAGGACGGGGTAGAGTTAAGGGTGTCCATGGAGGGGTCAGTGCTGCAGAGATCCAGATAAAGCATGCCCATGAATGCGGCATTAGGGCTCAGAGGAATAGGTAAAGGATGCCCATGGAGGGGCAGAGTTAAGGTGACATAGAGGGTCACAGTTAAGGTTGTAGACTGTCCCCAACTTGGACAGGCCATCTCGCTATACTGAAATCATGTCCCCGCCCCATCTCTCTTTTCAGACCAGGCAACGGAGGAGTCTCCCCTGCTGAGGCTGGTGTCCCTGCAGAACGCCGATGGCTCCTGGGACTTCGGGCCCCAGCTGGTTGTCGCGCTGGGGGTGAGTGAGACAGACGCCAGAGGGAGGATGCCCAGTGAGGTGAGTGCGGGGGAGGGCAGAGATGGGGGGCAGGGAGGTTCCCAGACCCGCCCTGTCTCAGACTGTCTCTCCTCCACAGGACGTGGTCCCTGGCGTCTGGGCCACGGTGCTGGCCGTGGTCTGGCTGCACGGCCGGGCCGCGGGGCAGCGCGACGAGTGGGAGCTGCTGGAGGCAAAAGCTGTGGTCTGGGTGCAGGATCGAGCAGGTAGGAGGGTGTGCGGGGAGGGAGGGGGCTCAGGGTATCATCGGGAGAGCTCCTGCCCCATGGAAACCCCACAACTCAGAACCCCACCCTGCCTCCCACACACTCTGCCCCCAGCCTATCCCAGTCCCGATCCCACCATCCTTCAGAGGTCGCCATGCCTCATCCCCTGACACCTTTACTTTCTGACCCTCGTGCCAGTCCCGCCACGCTCTGCGATCTCTCTGCTCTTTGCTCCTCCTGTTCCCCTCGCTCGTGTCTCCCCCCACCTCCTGGTCGCTCCCCATTTCCTGGGCCGGTGTCTCCCCATCGATCTCCTTCTCCTTGCAGGGCCCTGGCTGAGCGAGTGCCTGGAAGCCGCCAATGCTTTGCTGGGCTGCAGTGTGGGCCCTGCCGTCTTTGGGCTCTGACCTCCCAGGGATCCCTGCACCCACAAGCTACCCTGGGCCATCAAGTGGGGGCCCTGAGGCCAGCAGTGGGCACTGGGTGCAGCCTCAGCCCAGCCTGGAGCTAACTCCCAGCATGGATCCCACCGCTGCCACCAATTAGAATTCATGAGTCTCCTGCTACCGGCAGTGGAGCCCTCGATGCCCCCGGCTGCAAAACCTGCGGGCTGCCCCCGGCCCCACCCCCTGGCGAGCTGCTATTCAGCAACCCCTGCGCCGCTCACAGCCACTGTCTCCTTTCAGCATTGTGGGGGATCGCCAGTGTCAACGTTGCAAATTGCTTTGCTTTTTCCCAATACTAGAGGGGTGCCTGTCTCAACAGTCCCCGCACCCCATAGGTGGCTGCCCTAACCTTGCTCTGCATGAGCCACCCAGTGGAAACCAAGCGCCCTCCACCCCGAGTTCAGTTTCAGGACAGACAGACAGACAGACAGGATATTTGGGAGTCCAAACACAACCCCCTGTGGTCGTCATGGCCGATTTCTCCTCGCTAGAGAGTCCCGCGTGTGAATGGCTGCCCAAGCATTCGCACCAGTGACTGATTTGCACCCTGCCGCGATTCGAGCTGAGCAGATGGTTCCCAGCCGGGCAGAGTTCGGCCAGCAGGCCCGACCCCCTGGGGAAGGCCAGTAGGTGGACATCAAGGCCGTGTGTTGTGAATCCAACCCATTCCCAGATACATGTTTAACCTTTTCGTCGATGAGCTGATGCTTATCGGTTTCTTAAACCATTAAACTCCCTGTCCGGGGCCTCATCGTCGGCCGAGAGCCCCCCAGGAGCAGGGCTGGCTGCTGCATCTGGGAGAAGGAGGGGCTACATCCCTGAAAACGTTTAACCGTTAACCGATAGAATTTTGATCGGTTACACGGTTAACATTTTTCTATATTTTTTTTTACATCGCTCGTCTGCATCAGCCCCCTTCAAAGTTCTCCTCTGTGTGCCTCTGTGCTAGCCCATGTCTCTACCTCAGCCGTGCTGTGGCTGAGAAGGTAGCTGCCCCCCAGGTCTGATCACTGACCCCCGATTGCCTGGCGCTGTGGCAGCAGTGACTTTAATAGTCATGGGTTGTTTGAAAATCCCACTAGATACTGAGCTGCATTTGTAAACGCCCACATAACTTTCAACCTGTATCCCGTAATGCTCCCTGAACACCAGCATGACCCAGACACCTAACTCACTTACACACTCTTGTGATTCGCACGAGGCATCTCGTTCTCTTTGCCAGTGCCTCGCACGTGTGCAAATCGGCCCTTTTGCCTTTCTTCCTGAGTTCTCTCTGCCCGTATTCTCTTCCACCTGCCACGGGAGCAGGGAGGAGAAATGTTGGCATACCCGGAGACGTTGGTGACAGGGGACCGGTACATGGCAAAGGTAGGACATCGGTGTGTAACTCATCAGACTTGCGAAGACACCGTGGTCAACAGTTCTACCGTCTGCCGGCATTTCCTTGGCGGTTCAATGTTCTCTGCCATTATAGCATCGTTCGGGGGCCTTACAAAAACGGTCCCTTTTCGCCCGTTTGAAAGTCCCAGCAACAGAACCACCAAGGGAAATCTCTTCCCAGAAAGGATCAGTTATCCTGGATACTTAACGATGGGAAGATGCCAACGTGTAGATCCATATTCTCGTAGGGTATGTCTACCCTTGCACCCTCTTTCGAGAGAGGGGTACAAATGAACACCCCGGTTTGAAATTGCAAATGGAGCCGGGATTTGAATTTCCCACGCTTCATTTGCATATTCGCGCTACGGTGCTCTTTCGAAATAGCGCTATTTTGAAAAAAGAAACGCTGGCTAGACACGGTTATTTTGAAAGAAAACCTTGCTCTCGAAATACCCCTTCTTCCTCCTACAATGAGGTTTACCTGTTATTCCAGAAGAAGGGTTTTCTTTCGAAATAACAAACATGGTCGAGATGGTTATTTCGAAATAGCGCCACCACGCAAATATGCAAATGAAGCGTGGGAAATTGAAATCCGGGCTTCATTTTCCAATTTTGCTCAGTTGCATTTGCATCCTTCTCTCGCAAGGGGGTGCAAGGGTAGACAGCCCCCGACGTCCTCGGTGCATGCAGAAAATGTACGAGGGAACTTCTAGTCCCAAGACATGTCGGCACCCAAGTCTAGGCAGAGTTTACAGCTGAGATGGGAAAATATGGACCAGTGTCCCCCTCCAGGTCAGACTTAGGCATCCGATTTGGGAGGGACCCCTCACCGTGGCATCTGTGCATGCCTGGAGCTTTGGATCAGGGGAGGAAAGGCAAGGGGTGGACGAGACACAGAGATACCCCACGTTGCATGAGACCGAGCGAGGGGATGGGGGTGATGAAGACTTCTGCAGCTGTAGGACCAAGCAGGTTACAGATGGTCATAATGAGCCAGAAATCCAGTGTCTCTATTATCATACAACCCCAAGGTGGGTAGAGACCTCAGGAGTCGAGTCCAGCCCCCTGCCCAAGGCAGGACCAACCTCGACTCAACCATCCCAGCCAGGGCTTGGTCAAGCCGAGACGTCAACGCCTCTAGGGGTGGAGATTCCACGCCCTCCCTAGGGAACCCAGCCCAGCGCTTCCCCACCCGCCTAGGGAAATCGTCATGGTGTATCCATGAGAGAAGGGGAGCTGTGGGGAGCCCCCTTTAGTGAAAGGTTCCCAGCCCAGAGCTGAGCGCTCCCCACACTCCCAGCCCCGAGCCACC